AGACAAGCCAGGCCAAGGCCTACGTCATTGCCATTGCTGTTGCAATTTTCTATGGCCTGCACCGCCGACGCACCTAAAAGCCGGAGAGGGCGTAGCCGAATCCGGGTGGGTTACCTCACAGGAAGCCGCAACGAGGAGTCGTAGATGCAGAGGCATGAGCGAGCTGTTTACTTCGCGTAATCTACCTTGCTTTTTTCTACAGTCTTTGTAAATCAACGCAAGGATAGGTGGGACATCTAGCACTAATCTCTCCGCATCTCTGGCAGGGTCAACCGCCCGTTGCGCAAAGAACAACGAGGGGGTCGTATTCAGCCGACCGAAAAGGGAGGGGGTCGTATCCACAGAGACGGGCTGCAAGACGGCTTGAAAAGTGCAGTGTCCGGGAGTGCACTTTCAGCTCTAATGTTCTCCAGGAGCTCTGCACCGTGCAGCTGTCGGAGAGTCACACAGACAAGAGCTCCATGGGAGCATTAGAGCATGCAGAGCATTATAAGTCTCACTATCAGCCATTATTATCCTTAATACACGGACGGCGCTTTCGCTCGACAGCATAGATCAAGATTACAATAGCCAAAAACTTTGTTACAGCGTAGTGCAAAAACATGGTCTGTCTTCGATGATCGAACATTCCTGAAATCCCAAGGAGAATAAATTGTAGAGCAGTTCATGGGAGATACCTATCAAAAACTGTGCCCTTCAGGCACTGAGCACGATGTGGTTCGTTGGGGTTTAGAACGACTTTTATTGTCTACAGCTGCTCACGGCTTGAACACAGAGCAAGAAGCCCCGCTCGGAGGGGCGGGACGCCGCGAGAACTCTGAGAGCGCTCGCGTTGACCGCGACACTCCGCGCGACGCCAAGTGGATGCATCAAAAATATTGCATAAAGCATAAACGTGAACATAGAAGCGCAAGCATGACATGACATGGAAGCGAAATAACTACGAACGTAAACGTAAACGTAAATACTAATGTGAAAAGGTACAAGTATAAATCAGGTAAATAGTTACAGTCATCGCTACAAAGGTTCAAATAACGATCACATCTCGTGCTTCTTCATGGTTCCCACTTCGGACCGTACGCCCTGAGTGCACAGTCGTGGCCCGGTGCATGCGTCCGTTAGTGACTGCGGTTGACTTCTGGGTGATTCGATGGAATGAATACAGTCGTTACTGGGCAGAAAGAGCGAGTAAGGTAGGTATCGGCCAGGAGTTCGAGTGCAGTGGCAGAGAACCAAAAGACGACGGAGTCCTTTCTCGGCGGGGCGGCGGTGTAGACGATGAAGAAATACGAAGAATATTTTAGTGAAGATCGGTCGTGGAATCAGTGCTGACGCTGCCAGAACAATGAATATGATAGAGCGTTAGCAGAGGGACGTGAAGAAGGAGGGCATGGGGGTCGGCAGAAGGAGGGGGATGACATTGGAACAGATGTGGTGAAATGGAGAAGAGCTGAATACCATCCATTGGAGCAGACGATTAGCGGTGACGACGTTTGAATGGTGTAGTAGTTGCTCGATCGGAACACAGAACAGTGTTGTGCTCGCCACGACAGATTAACAAGTCACGGAGCAGTTTGCCCCATGTTCGGGACGCAGACATCGTCTGCATAGGTGGAGTTCAGAGGCTCTCGAAACAGGGTCAGGGTGTCGATGACAGCGTGCAGTGTGATGGCCGTCGATATCTCTTAGACCCAGTCGGCGGCCCAAAAATGCACAGTTCGAGATTGGTTGTGTGCGATCCCTAAGCACACGCACGTCTTCTTGAATTTGGGATACCTTGGAAAAAACTGCTTCGAGGCGAGTCGAACATCCTGCAGACGGTTTCCGCGATCGTTTGTATGGATGCGCGAGTGTCCATTTCAATGAGGCGAAGTTCGCGTTCGATATCGTCCTCCATTGGTTGGTGGGGCAATAGAATGATTGTTTCTATGTTGCAAGAAGATATACGAGATCCGTAAGTTGGGGTAGGCGTGTCACCGGAAGTGACGTGCACTTGATAGAATCTATGTGGATAAGCTGCTTCCAACATATCGCTGGATATCAGCAAAGCATGCTGGCAACAGCTTATCCACGCAACTTCTATCAAGTGCACGTCACTTCCGGTGACACGCCTACCCCAACTTACGGATCTCGACTGTATGTTATGCTGACGTGTGAGGAGAATATGATAAGTAAAATAACATATGAGATGTTTACTGTCCGGAAGATCGCTGACGCGAGCAGGCTGTTCCAGCTCGCCTGGAATGATTGAATAGCCAGCGGATCGCAGTCAGTGTCACAGTAAGCACTGTTTTTAGCACCGCTAATAGCGCCTCCATCACGAGCAATAGGACGATCGGACCGCAAATGTAGGTTAGAATCAGAAGCGAGATTACGGTGCCTAAAATAGCGATGGCTGATTTCCAGTAGGAACTTATTACTAACCATAAGGCACTTTTGCTTAATTAGAAGAGGGGCGCTGAACCCTATTGGATCATAAATGGAGTGGTGCTCTCTCAGGGCGTCTCGTTTTATTATGACTCTGCCACGTTTATTCACGGAGAATGAGAAGACGTCTGCTATTGGGTTGTAGCTCACTCCAAGCAGTTTCATTGGACCGCAAGGCGTTCGTCTAGCGTCGATTCGTCTAGCTGTGCGTTGACTGCACTTGCATTGCTGATGAAAGATCTCAGGTTCATACCGAGTGCAGCGAAAAGTTTTTTGGACTCGTGATTTTTCTGGACTGCTTTCTCTTCATTGTGTGCAGTCATTAGCACGTTATCTACATAAAGATAGCGCAGAATTTCGCATGCTAATGGAGTGTCGAGCGATTGAATGTGAGCGGATATGACCATATTCAGCATACTCGGGGAGACCGTGGTTCCAAAGGGAACGCGTTTCCAGCGATATTCTATTACATTGTCGGGTATAGGTGGACTCGTTGGGTCACGTAGCCACAAAAATCGACATAAGTCTCGATGAGTTTCATCTATGTGTATTTGAGTGAATGCCGCTTGGATATCAGCGAGGAAAATGATGGGTGGCTGTCTACTAGCAAGGATATCGTATATTATGTTAAAACCAGTTTTGCTTCGCCCGCTATTGCGCGCATCACACGGCCGGCTTTAGTGAAATTGAAAGACCCATGGAGTATCAGCATGA